TTTTCCCAGAAAGTCAATTTAATTGAAATGCAATATGAAATGCCATGCAAAATATATGCCTATTTATTTACGCATTAGTAATTGCATACATGCATGATTGGTGTTGCGGACGCACAGGTAAGTGCCAGGTAAGTTCATAAATTTAATTATGTAATTGTTGAGTTGATATGATGGAAAGCTCATAAACCTGCACTAGGATGATTGTGATTTGATAGAGATGATTCAGGCCTGTATATATAGAGTCACCCCCGCACCATATGCTCACAATTGGATCCAATTTAGGTGCCCAGTCGTACAGACCATTAGAGGTGGTTCTGATTCGTAGGTGACTAGCGATTTATCGCATAGCTATCAGGGGAGGATAATGTGAGCATAACTATATTCACCCAGTCGTACAGACCTTTCCGGGGGTTTCGACTCGTGTGCAGTGTAGTGCCGTACAGGTCACTTGCGATGACTCCGGCTAGATTTATTGATAAGATTGATTATGAGCTATAGTTTCAGCCGTACATGCCACTTTAGATGGATCCGGTTGACATTATTTTTCATGAGCTACTTATATGTTTTGTTGAGATATATTTTGGCATGGCATATAATTCACTACTTATGAATATGGTTTTAAGACAAATATACGTATTACTTATTTCTGGGAAAGTATACGAGTTTTACAGCGAGGGGTTAGCATTTTGACAATGAGATGATTTTTTTTTAAAGCTTTGTTTTACTGACCCACTCAATCTTGTTTTGTGCCCCTCCAGGTTCAAGATAGCAGAGTTTTGGTGTCCACGAGGAGTCCAACGGTGTTCTGACAAAATTTTTAAAAGTAGGACTCACCCTCGGGGGTTACATCTTAGCAATTGTATCTTAAAAGTTTCCGAACTGTGTAAATGGTTACGTCACTCTCATGTGACGGCCAGCATGCCCTCCTTCGGGACGGGGTGTGTCATTTCACCTTTCTTTCTTTAAGTCCATAAATTATACCCCTTCCTTCCGTTTAAATGCACATCGTTTCTGCACCGAAAATGCTTCAACAATTTCGTCTTTTTATTTTTTATGTTTTTGTGTTCAATTTCTGATGATTTTTCTTGAAGTATGTATATCTAATATTAGGGTAAACTATCAGTTAACTCTTTGAACTATTATTCAAGTTGAAATTGATTCTTGAACTATATTTTTTTTGGTAAATTAACCTCCTGAACTATTAGGCCATCTTCAATCAAGGGCTGGTTAGATGGCTCATTTTAGCCCTCTGGCCATCTAAGATATTAATATTTTAATGAACAGTACATAATCATATTTGCCTCCGTCTCTAACCGAGGGCCAAAGGGCCATAGGGCTCGTTTTAGCCCTGTCACAAAAAATCGTCTCCAACCGAGGGCCAAAGGGCCAAACAAAATTTATTATTTAAAAACCACCACTTAAATTCAAATCCAACGACTAAGTGACGTCAAATATGAAACAATTTTTGTGAAATAGAAGTTATAGGAAAAAATAGAATTTAAAAAAGTAGGAAACAAATTTTGTAAAATAGAAGTTATAGGAAAAAAATAGAATTTAAAAAAAAATATGAAACAAATTTTGTAAAATAGGAGTTATAGGAAGTTATAGAAGAAAAAAATAGAAGTTATAGAAAAAATTTTGTAAATAAAAAAATTAAATAAAACTGTAAAAAAAATTCAAAAATAACAGCTAGCTGTTGTCAGCTAGCCGTTGGATTCAAATTTTTCTTTAAGCAATCATGTCGGTTATATTTATATTAAATATACTCTGGTCAGTTATAACTGACAGGATTGCTATGAATTTCTGGCCAGCCCTTTAGCCCTTTGGCCCTTTCAGGTTCCGTGGGGCCCACGAGCCATCTGGCCTAATGCTCAGTTGGAGACAGTTTTCTGGCTATTTTCGACACTCTGGCCCTCTTGACTCTTCGGTTGGAGATGGCCTTAGAAATCAGTCAATTGACCCCTTGTTGGTAGATTTCATCCACTATTTCGTCAAATCCAAAGGAAAATTTGTCTTTCCTTGATCAATTATTACTTGTCAACTATAACCACTAATGAAATAATGACATGTGAAAACAAAAAAAATGTGTAATGACAAGATGGGGGAGGGCTACATTTGACTAGCATGATGCCCTTTGGCCAAATTATAGTCTGGTGGGCTTCGTAGAACTAGAGTCTGGTCATCGATTAAATATGAGTTTTTGGCAAATAATGTCTTTTTTTACTTTTAGACCTTTAGCCTTTTCCATTAGAGATGACTTACTATTGGATTTAGTAGGTCTGGCTCCTTCCGATTGGGCCTTTTTTTTTACTGAAGCCAATTGATTGGCTGTTGCTACTTAATACTATGATTTAGTGGTATTCATCTTTACTTGTAAGTGAGAGGTTTTATGTTCGTTTCTCGCAAAAAAACGAATTTTGAACCACATTATTGCTAATCTATTGTGAGGTTTAGTCCATTTTCCTCAGCTCTTAGTATAAATAATATCGTTTGTCAAAAAAAAAAAAATTAATTGGCTGTTTTAATAGCTCAATGTGAAAGCCACGTGATGACTATGTTAAAAGAGAGATTTTTCAGTATGACCAGTACACGAGGTGATGCACAACGTGTCACTAAATAAATTGTGGGATATGTGCGCTAAAAAGTTAATAACTTAAAAAATAAAATTTCTCACAATTTCTATTGAAACACATGGTGTACTACTTGTATTCCCGTCACAACTAAAAATTTCTCGTTAAAAGGCAGCAAGCAGCCAATAGTACGAGAAATTTCTCAGCGTGACCGAAATACGGGATGATACAATACGTGTCATTATACAAATAGTGAAATATGTGTGTTAAAAAGTTATTAACTTTAAAAATAAATTTTATTACCATTTATATAAAAATATGTAATGTATCACTCGTGTTCCGGTCACAATGAAAAAAAATTCTAATAGTACAAGGCATTGGATGCTTTTCTTTTGGTTTCCATCAGCAAAGAGAAAATGTAAGCCTTTCTGGTTTCTGAAAAATAGAGGAAGACAGCCCGAGTACTTTATTGGTAGTAGGGGTGTTGGTGACAACACGGTTTAGTGTGGGTCATAGTGTTAGATTGTGAATTTTTTTTTTGACAAAGAAATGTTAATATGATCGTTTATGGTGGTCTATAGTAAGGTATACTGTTATAACCATGATATTTTGATATTTGTATTTTTAAATAAAAATTTAATTTTTTATATGAAACAAAAACGTTAAAATAATGATGTAATTAATTTATTACGTGTTATCAGGTTATAAAGTTAAAATACAATGTGAAGTGAGGAATCATTTGAGCCACGCAGCTCTAAGGTTTCGTGTGAATAACACACCCGAGAATATATATTCATGTTAGAAGATCAACGGATAAAAAAAGATATTTTGATATGAGTCCAAAGTAACTAAAAATTAAACCTATTTCAAAAGTTAAAAGTTACTAAAAATTGGATTTATTTTAAAAGTAAGCTTATAAAATTGAACCTATTTCAAAATTTTCCTTTTTAAAAAAAAAAATTATGTTCCGTTAATTCGTTTGTTACCAATGTAAAAAAGTAAAGAACTAATGCAGCCAATAGTACAAGGCAGTGGATGGTTTTCTTTTGGTTCCCATCAGCACAGAGAAAAAGAAAGGCAGCCTATGCCCTTCGGTTCCTAGAAAACAGAGAAAGATGGACACTTGGACAGCCGCAGTTTTATCTGTTGGTAGGAGTGGTGTGACAACACGGTTCAGTGTGGGTTATAGTGTTAGATGATGAATTATTTTGTTGACAAAGAAAAGTTGTATATGATTGTTTGGATGAGTTAGGGCTGGTTTGGTATTGTTGTGCTCTGAAAAAAAGTAGTTTTTGCTATGATGTGGGAATAAGCGGCTGTGAAATAAAGCAGCAGAGTGTTTGGTAAACTTTTATGTAAAACAGCTGTGACTGTGTGAAATGACCAAAAAAGGTATAATACTATATATGCTATTAATTTAATTTTCTTAACAAATAAAGAATAATTACTAAATATACTTTATTTTTAAAAGAAAAATATTTATAAATTTTATCTTAAATATTAATTAGTATGACAAACTACTTCAATTGAAATATTTTAGACTGCATAGCTAGGATTCATTAGTACATTATTGTTAATGTACTTGAAAGTAGTCTAATTAAATGCATTCATCAAACTTGCCTCTATAATTGATTAGAATACCTGGTTCAAGGAGATATGTGACGAAGTATGTGTCACAAAACACTAAATTCAATGAACGAAATTGGTAAAAACATTACGAACCGTTTATGTATTTGTTATAATAGATTGACTAAACGACCTTAGTTTTAATTTATTTTTTTGCAGATATGATCTTTACCGTGTGATTCATAGTATGAACAATTCTAATCATAAACACAAAACTATGTAATTAAAACACTAAGAATTTTGAATAAAAATTCATACTCATCTTTGAGTGATTTTATACCTTTTCCTTCCCTTTTCTAGGGTTTGAATGCACATGCGCCGAAAGTGGTTAGCAAATTCGTTTTTTCATTTTTTTGTTTTTTTCGTCGTCCTTTTCTTTCGTTTGAATGCACATGGTTTTTGCCCCTTTTCTTACGTTTGATTGCACTGGCGGTATATTATTACTCTTTTCTTCCCTTTTCTTACGTTTGATTGCACATGATTTTACAATGTGATCGATACACGAGATGTTACATCACTCATATTAAAATACATGATGTATCACTTGTGTTCCGTTATAACTAAAAATTTCTACTTTTATAGACGTTAGCCATTGGTGATAAAATACAAAACAAAGAATAGAAAGCTTCTGTCTCCTCTCTATCCCTCTCTCTCTCTCTCTCTCTCTCTCTCAGAAAATCAGAATCAAAGGGGGTTGCTTTTTGCTTGTTCAAAGTCTTCTCTGCCCTTTCCGTCAACACCAAATTGGTAATTTCGCATAAACGATTGCCCTTTTATTTTTCTCTTGGTCCAAATTCAATCGAATTATTCTTATATTTTTCTCAGAAAATAAGAATCAAAGGTGCTTGCTTTTTAATTTTTGTCCTCCGTTGCGTGTTTGTGACTTTGTGCACATGCTCAGTAAGAAGTAGTACAATTTCAATTTTTCTGTACTAAAATCTGATCTAGTCTCAGGTTCAACTATAGATCAGATTCGCTCTCTGCTCTGTAATCAAATACTCGTTGGCTCCATTTTGGCTTCGTTCTCTTCTCTCTAAGAGAGAGATGGAGTTGATTGAGTTCATTCAAGTTTTCACATCATCGTCATCGCCATCGGGACTCTGTTGTGCATGTTGGGTAGATCATTGACATTTTCTACGTCGACTTCTTCTTCTTCTGGTGCTGCTGATGCTGTTGTTGAGGATAACAATGATGATGATGATGTTGCTATCCCCCCTCTTCGAGAAAAGTATGATGTGTTTCTTAGTTTCAGAGGTGAGGACACTCGCCCTACTTTTACCAGCCATCTTCGTGCTGCTTTGGAAAGGAAGAAATTCGAAACCTACATAGACGAAAAGCTGAAGCCAGGAGACGAAATTGGACCCACCCTACTAAAAGCAATCAAGAAATCAAGGCTTTCGGTGATAATTTTCTCCAAAAACTATGCGTCTTCCACATGGTGTTTGAGTGAACTTGTGCATATACTCAAATGCAGAAAGAAAAAAGGCCAGATGGTTGTACCCATTTTTTACGACATCAATCCATCAGATGTGCGAAAACAAGAGGGGAGTTATGCAGATGCATTTGCTCAACTTGAAAAACGTTTCAAGGACGGTATGGGCAAGGTGCGCAAGTGGAGGAAAGCTTTGAGGACTGCAGCCAATATTTCTGGGTTCGATAATTCAAACAAAAAAAGGTAAGTAACTTTGTAACTTGTATCAATTTCTACTTGTGACTATTTCTTTTCAATTTTTTTTCTTTAAATTTTTTTATAGGAACCATATTCATTATATAGACTTCAACTACCTGATTTAGGTATTTAAAAGTAGGAATGTATAAAAGCTAGAGTGAAATTTTGTGTTTGTTAAGTCTGCCGTTGAAAATCCAAAATGGAAAAGCATATCAGTTGAATTGCATACTATCTGCCGTCGAAAATCCAGAAATCATTGGCCTTCAGAGTCGAAACATACAACCTCCACCTCTGCCTGACTAGACCTGAAATTCCAACCCCGAATTCCTCGCGCAGCCCTGAAATTCCGACCCCCGAATTCCGCCACTCTAAAACAAATCTTATAGACTAATGAAGGCATTACTTACTATATATTGCTTCTCATTTGTAATCATATTTTGCAGGACGGAGGCCGATTTAATTGAGAAACTTGTGGAAGATATTTCAACGAAATTGAAACGTGAAACCTCATATGACTTAAATGGCCTGGTTGGAATTCAAAGCCGCATCGAGCAAGTTGAATCGTTATTAAGCAATAATGATTCGCAAGGTGTTTGCACTGTAGGCATTTGGGGTATGGGTGGCATTGGAAAGACCACCCTTGCTCAGGCTGTGTTCAAGAGACTCTCTTCTAAGTTCGAAGCTTGTTGTTTTCTTAGCAATGTTAGGGAGAAAGCAGAGCAAACAGATGGAGTCAATCAACTGAAAAAAACACTTCTTGAAGAGATCTTAAACGAACGGTCTATAGATTCGACTTCTGTTCGAGAAAGGCTCAGCCGTACAAAGGTTCTCATTGTTTTTGATGATGTTAGTGACTGGAGGCAAATAAAAGATGTAGCTGGAGACAATCTTCGCTACAGCGATGGAAGTAGAATCATTGTAACAAGTAGAGAATGGAGCGTACTCATGAAAGCTGTTAAAGAGAGAAAATATATATATCAGGTTGAGAAATTTAAAACTGATGATGCTCTTCGGCTCTTTCAATCTCATGCCTTCAAGGATAACTCTCCTAGAGCAGAATATAGAGAGTTGTCCGCAAGGGTGGTAAAATATGCTGGAGGCATTCCACTGGCTCTTGAAGTTTTGGGTTCCTTATTGTTTCCATGTGTGAGCAAAGACGAGTGGGAAGATGTATTGAGCACACTGATAAATTATCCCAATGAAGAAATTCAAAATACGTTCAGAGTAAGCTATAATAGATTAGGAAGAAATGCGCAGGACGTATTTCTTGATATAGCATGCTTTTATAAAGGGGAGCGTATTGAGGATGTACAAAAGATGGTAGACTTTGGCCAAATGCATGGTGGTTCATGTGCGGCAGATGGAATTAGAGTTCTCCGTGATAGGTCTCTCATATCGATTGATTCGGCATGGAAAACCATAGAGATGCATGATTTGGTACAAGAAATGGGTTGGGCAATTGTTTGCGAACAATGTATTGAAGAGCCCGGCAAACGTAGTAGGCTGTTCAGAGCTGAAGATGTCTATCATGTATTGAAAAATAACACGGTAAGATCCGAAAGTGCATTCACTTTTTCTTTTAAACAATAAAGAAAAGAAAGAGATGAATAAAATACCGTGTACTTCCTATGAGAAGGCAGCTAGAGAAAACTCATTTACAAGAAAAATAAGTCATATTCCTACAAATGTAGTTTAGATTAAATTTTGTTGTGTGTTAGTGTGTTCACATTTGTACTTTGTTGTTGGTTGTCAGGGAACTGAAAAGGTTCAAGCCATATCCTTTAACAGGTCCATCTTTGGGCCTGGGCACAACGTGGATCGTGCAGACTTTAAAAATATGTATAATCTGAGATTGCTCCGTCTTGATAGTTATTATACACTTCACATGTCTATAGATTTCTACAAATTTGAGCTTACTCTATCTCTTCCCAATTCTCTTTGTTATCTTTCCTGGAAGGGATGTCCTTTGAAATCTTTGCCCCCAGAATTTTCTCTTGAAAATCTTGTTGAGCTTCATATGCCCTACAACAGAGTCACGCAACTTTGGGATGGAGGCCAGGTATATGTGCTTGTTATAGTTTTTTTTTGTCTAAGATGTAGTGTAGAAACTTATTCAGACTAAGTTGTTAATTCTTACCTTTTCTCTTTAATTTGTTACAGAATCCTATCAACTTAAAAGTGCTCAATCTTCATTCCTCCTTGTGTCTGACTGCACTTCCACACCTCTCGAGGAGTCCAAATATCGAGCACATGGATCTTTCTGGATGTAAAAGTTTGGTTGAAATTCCTCAGTATTTTAAAAATCTTAACAAACTTACTTATCTTGATCTTTCAATGTGCGAGCGTCTCGAATATCTTCCAGAGATGCCAGGCAATATTGAATTCTTAAGATTACAAGGCAGTGGCATAAAGGAGTTGCCGTCATCAGTTTGGTCTCATGAAAAAATTTCTTCCTTGGATATTACATTTTGTGAAGAACTTAAGGAACTTCCAAGCAACACTTGCAAGCTGAAAGTCTCTGGTGCTTTTAGTCTATATGGCTGCTGCTCTCTTGAAAAGGTTTGGGAGCTTCCCAGGGGTATTGGTGAATTAGATTGGTCTCGCACAGCAATAAAAGTATTGCCCACATCATCAATGGAGCGTCTCTCTTGTCTCACCAGACTTAAACTGCATTGTTGCATTTATCTTGCAAGTCTCCCACGGAGCATTTGTAAGTTGAAATCTCTTGAGGAACTTGATCTCACTGGTTGCTATGAACTAAAAGTTGTTCCAAGTAGCATCTACAAATTAACAAATATCAAAATGCTCAGCTTTAGTTACTGTCGGAAACTTCGAAATTTTACTCAGCCGACTGGCTCAGTTGGTTTTCTCTCTCTTGAAGTACTAGACCTCAAATACAGCGGTATATTAGAAATCCCTGAGGGCTTCATTTGCTCAACCTCATTACGGGTTCTTAAGCTGGAAGGAACCAAAATTCGGAGCATACCCTCAAGCATTAAACAAGCTCCTCAGCCGACTGGCTCAGTTGGTTTTCTCTCTCTTGAAGTACTAAACCTCAAATACAGCGGTATATTAGAAATCCCCGAGGGCTTCATTTGCTCAACCTTATTACGGGCTCTTAAGCTGGAAGGAACCAAAATTCGGAGCATACCCTCAAGCATGAAACAAGCTTCTCAGCTGTCTTGCCTGTGCTTAATCGGCTGCACGAGGCTTCAATCTTTACCAGAGCTCCCAATGCTCAGTTGTCTTCAAGCAAATGGCTGCAAGTCACTGAAGACAGTGTCGAGTTCAAGGACTGCAATTACACAATGTTGGAATAGATGTGAATTACTTCAAGAGCTACTTGACTTTTCGGGTTGCCCAAGGTTGGGTGATGATGCAAGGAGCAGCATAATGGTTGATGCACAGCTTAGAATCATGCGAGTGGCAACTGCGGCTTCAAAGTTAAAAGAAGAGGAAGATTACGTACGTCTCTCTCTCTCTCTCTCTCTCTCTCTCTCTCTCTCTGTTAAGTAACATGATGTCAATCAATGTTGTAGGGAAAGTTTAAAGAAGAGGAATATTACGTATGTCTCTGTGTGTGTGCGTGCGTGTGTTAAGTAACATGATGTCAATTAATGTTGCAGGATGAGTCTTCTGAGCCCTTTGTTATCATTGTGTGTCCGGGATCTGAACTTCCAAATTGGTTCGTACATCAAAATGAGGGGGCTTCAATAAATGTCACACTTCCTGCAAATTGGTTTCGTGAAGGCTTCTTGGGTTTCGCTCTATCTGTTGTTACAGCCAAAGCATTATTGTTCTGTGAATACATGTTCACTTTCAAAACTGAAGAGGGGGAAAGTCTTGAAATCAATTGTGTGCGCGATGTTCTGGAAACCGAACCTTCAGAGAATGTGTGGGTATGGTATACAGAACTTGAATATGAAGAGGGAGCAAACTGGTCCTCTGCTTTTTTCGACCGTGTCACTAAGGTCTCTGTTCACTTCCAACCGAAAACATTATTCGATCATGAAGTGAAAAAGTGTGGGATATGCCTGTTGTATGCCGAAGATGCTGAGAAATTAAAATTTGATGTCATGTCGCTACAAGAACAATATGAGCCTGCAGCAAGTAGGAGTGGTGATCCTGAAGCCAGTGGAAGTGATGAATCTGAGGAATTAAGTGGAAGCGATGAATCTGAGGAAGCAAGTGGAAGCGATGACTATGAGGGAGAAAGTGGAAGCGACGAGGAAGCAAGCGATGAGTCTGAGGAAGCAAGTGGAAGCGATGACTATGAGGGAGAAAGTGGAAGCGACGAGGAAGCAAGTGATGAGTCTGAGGAAGCAAGTGGAAGAGATAAGTAGGAGCAAGCAAGTGGACATGACGAGTCTTTTGCTGGTTCAAGCCTCTCCTAAACTTCAATCAAAGAAATAGTTAAAGATAGAAAATCGAGTTCATCCAGTATTCAACCACAATTCCACAATACAATAGAAGGTACGTAGTTGAAATTGACAATTAAAATTATATGTAAGTACTAGCAATTGGGCTCACACGATGTCGCGGGTTTTAAAACGTGTGAAATATATTAAAAATTGTCTACATCTATCTCAAAATCTATTTACATCCTAATGTTCAATAAGAAACAAAATATAGGTATGTGATATACTGAATAGTAATGCCCGCATGTTGCTGCGGGATTAGAATTTGACTATCCATATTGGCATCTTAATATAAATCTTAGTATAAAACAAAGATCAATCTCATGCACTGAAAACTAATGTGATTAGTTGCCATAGATGCAAACACAATAATGCTGAAACCCCTTATAAAGTTACATATGCATCAAACATTTTTAATCTAAAAGTCTAGAAATCACAAGAAAAACAAATGTTGAGCCTACAGTAATCTCAGACAACAATCTCTAACAAAAATTTGACCATAAAATGTAAACCCATCTCTGAATCAATATCAATCTTCTTCCTCAACAAAAAGTTCACTATTTCTTGCAAAAACACACATACCCATCTTGTCATTTGCATCTGAAACCCCAAGTTTCTACCATATCACAATACAATGGCAGCAAGCCCAATTTTCTACTGTAAAAGTTTGTGTGACAGAAGATCAATGTATTTTGTGTTGACAATGCTAAGTATATTTTCATATATGAAATATTTTATTGATACAGTTTATACGGAGAAAGATGATATGAATGGAAAGAGATTAGAATCTTCCCAATATTTTAGCTGAGAGGTTGGGGTAAAGGAATATGGTCAATCAGAAATTGTTTGTAGCCTTCTTCTTTGCATCAGTGGCTTTGCTAAACTATAATTTTTTTAAAAATAAGACAAACCAACCATTACTGTTATGCTCCTTGCTGCAGTCAAGTCTCATGATTATAAATAAAACCAGACGAGCATATAAACCCAAAAAGAACAGTGTAAAAATATACTGTTTAAGAGTTGACTGCATCTTTGAATACTGAAAGTAAGAATATAGAGGAATCAGTACAGAAAATTTAAAATATACCAAGTATTGTTGTGTGCTCATCCGAGAGGGAATTTTGTGATCACTCAATTTCAAGTCTGGCCTCTCTTTCCTAATGAGAGATTCTACCGCAGCCTGATAGACATATTCAAACATTTAATAATCTACAGAAATTAACTAAACTCAACCACATTGAATATCAAAACCACCTACTTACCATCTTATCCAACTCTTATTTCGTAAATTTTTCTGGTAAAGAAGCATAGTTTATCCTGAGCTCTGCAATAAAATAATTCAATTCTTCTTTGCTTTTCAATAAGATCCCTACATTCAAACAAACATAATTACTCTACTAAATAACTTCAATGTAAAATGCAAAGATATAACATAAAAGGACAGTGAATAATTCAAAAATCAAACTGTTAAAGCAACAGACTGATACTGTGATACACTTAACTTGCCAATTTATATACTATATAACAATACTAAATCAAGTAATCTATGAAGATTAGGAATGGATTGCAAAAGCAGAAAACTTATTTGACATGTATTAAAAGGATACACAAATTCTTAGCCAATCAGCATGAAAAAGGTATAGAAAACTAATTTGATTTGTTAACTTTGGAAAACTGGAGAGATAAAAAAGGAATTCTTAGTTTTTAGTATGACAACCAAGTGATTTCGTTGTTTACGGGATTCATGTGTGTCGTTAGGATTGCCAAAATTAGTGATTTTAGAGTTTGGCAACAAATTACAGAATTGGACTCAAGTTTATTAACATGTGATCTAAACTTGTGATCCAACTAAACTAATTTGGATACACTTAGCAAAGAAATATGCATACCATATGACAATATTGAATCAAGTTATTTGCAAAGATTTAAAATGCATTGTAAAAAGAAAAAATTTTATTTTATATGTATTAAAAAATGATAAACAAATTTTTTATTGATCAGTATAAAAAAGGTGTTAAGAACTAAGCTAATCTATTAAGTTTGGAAAAATTGGACAGATAAAAGAGAGTTTTTAATCCTTACTATAACTAAAATAACTATGTTATTTCATTATCAAATAGGATCCATACGTGTGATGTGGGTTAAGAAAATCACTGATTACAGAATCTGCAAGAAATCATCAAATTGGATTCGAACTGACCAATTTTTTATTCAAATAAGCTAAGAAAAGGAGTTGGAATCAAACTAACCTCCGTTTTCTATATGCAGCAAACTGCATCTTGTTTTTCGTTAACAACATACCATTCACTCTGTAGTCTGTACACACCAAAAAACAGTAAACACCTCATTCAGTACTAACAGCCAGTTCAATCAATTAATTATTTAGACAATTTTCAACGATTCCGAAGCTTAGACAAAAATTGCACGAGGAAATTGAGATTATATGCAATTGTATGTCAAATAACCTGAAAATACCATATATCCAATATTAAGTGCATACACCTAAAAACTAATCTTTATATATACTTTAAAATAATACAGATCAATGTAATCTAAAACATTGGAAACATTATCATACAATTAAAGAATCACAATGCAGAAAATTTTCATTCCAATATTTTCAGATAACTTTTCACCCGACAACATTGTAGTTCAATCTCCATCTTTAAGGGTCATCAAAAATTAAAGTAGTCAGTACAGCACACTCACAACAGATATGCTCTCAGAAAAACCAAAGAGAGAACCGCACTGGGCTGCTCAACTATCCAATTTATACCAGATCCAACATTTTACATCCGTTCAGTCCCCAACCACAAGGTTGATTCCAATTCAACCCTCTTATTCATTCTCTCCGTTTACATCTCCAACGCACAATCATACATGTCAAGACAAAAGATAAGATTCATAAATTTGGGTCTATAGCTCTTGGATCCAAATCTCATTGAACCAACCCCATTCTCCTAAACTAAACATAAAATTGTTTCATGACCAATGTCTTCAACTTATTTTTGGATAAATGTCAAGGTACCCAAGAACTACCAGTGAAACAACCGCAAAGACTCAAAGTTCCACAGTAATATATTATCTGCAACTAATAAAAAATTAACCAACTCGAAATCAAATATAAACCCAAATGAATCCGAACCCACCAAGCAAAACAGAAAAAAACCCTAAATAGACAAACAATCAAACATAACCAAATGCGTAGCTTCAAAAATTTCATTTTAAAGCCAATTATGAAGCACAAAATGTTAGCCCAAAATGGAAAAAGAGGTAAAAACGAAGCAAAAGCCAAAGAGAGAGATGGATACCTTTCTGTCTCCTCCTCTCTGTGCAAGCGCTCTTTCTCTCTCCCTCTTTCTCTTTCTGAATCCTTCCCTCTGTGCAAGCCCATACTCACCAACAGCGTGTATCAAAGGAAATCTCAACTTCTCACTGCAAGGATTTGCTCGAAAACGAAGTAATAAGATAGGTTCAGAGCTAGCACTAGCTAAAAAGGCTACTCCAAAAGCAATTATCTAAAAACCTGTCACTGATACAAAAAATAAGAAGTGATTAGCAGTGATTCAGGGGCACTCTTATAAATTGTAATTGCAAGGCAAGATCAGAATTGATTTGCAAAGACTCATAGGTACTCTTATAATTACCATCTTTAACTTCATTTTGTGTAATATGTATTACCACATACAATATTGTTGTATAAACAGCCCAATACGAATTTTGATTTCAGTGGACTCAAATAGCGCACACAATAACTAAACCGCAAAAAGAATCAAAACACCAAGCATAAAGAAAAGACACACCACACGTACAATAGCTCAAAGATTTATAGTGAGTCTGTAAACAATGAGAAAATTGTTATGAACCCAATTTGTAATTGAGGTTTATGCTTAAGGTAAAGAGTCAAATTAGTTGTAATTGAGGGTTTTTACTGGTTATTAGGGGAATTTGATAGAAATGCCAGCTGGCAGTCACACTTCATGTATAAGAGCACCTGCTCTTTGGTTTGAAACAGAACATAATTTTACAGAACAAATCAATACAAAAATATTGGAGCTCTACTCCTCCTATCTTCCTCCTTCCTTCTTTTCTATGTGCAATAGTTAAGGTTTGAGTTAGGGTTTGAGATTTGGGTTCTAACAATGGTATCACCCATATCGATTCCTGGATTCCCTTCTGTGCGCACCCGCCGATCCGCTGCTACTTGCGACTCTGCCTTGGAGTCCCGTCTTGATGCCGTGGAGGCTTCCTTGGCGGCTCTCATCGCCTCTTTACCTTCCCTCATCGCCACTGAGTACGCCAAGGCCTTCGACAATGTCTTCGATGACTCTTTTGAAAAATTTCGTCGGGGAATGCTTTCTCGAGGTGCCGCAGTAGGCATCTCTGCCCTTCTTGCCATTGATCATCATGTTTCTCCTGCGATTGAGCCTATCCAGCTACCTCGGAGCCCAATTTGTGCTGAAGAAGCCTAATCGCAGCTTATTCCGTTGACAATCCAAGCTCCACTGCTGCTCTCATCTTCACCGTTGTTGCGAGCACTGGCAACTTCGGCCGTCAAGCCACACTCGAAACACCCCGCTGCAGCTACAGTTTCATTTACGGAATCGAAGACGGGGATTCATACTTCGATGATGACCTCTGCTCCGCCACTACTCCATGAGCACCCGTTCTCTGATACTACGAAAACTGGACCTGAGGTAGTTCTTAATTTGAGTATCATTTTAGCAACTCCGGAGGCTACATTCCCTTCTCTTTTGACTGATTACTACGGTGCATACCTGAAAGATAAATTTGGATGGGTTAATTGGTATCTTGTGGGTAAATTTGTGAAGAAAAATTTATATGCATTGGATATGTTTGATGAAATGTCTAAGAGACAGAATGACAATATGTTCATTCAGCCACTGGTTCACAGTATTGAAGTTCTCCATCTCGACTATCTTGCCATCCAGCTCCATTATTTTGACTTAAATTGCTACCTTGGTTTTGAATATGGAAGTACAATTGCTTTAGGTAGAGTTTTTGCTTGTTCATCTAGTTTTAGTCAGAAGCCTATGTTTGGAGCATTTGGGTCCAATCTTGCTCAAACAAGTCCTTTTGAAAGTCCAACTCAAACATCACAAGCAGCATTTGGGGGCAGTATAATTGGTTCATCCACGCCAATTGGTGACATGTGTTACTGTAATGGCATTTGGGATAAGGGTGGAGGCTTTAAATTCAACAAAATGCAATTGAAGATGGCGGTGGCTCGAATAAAGCTGCTGAGGAACAAGGGGCAGGTGGTAGTGAAGCAAATGAGGCGTGCCATTGCCTTGCTCCTACAATCTGGTAAAAACGCTACTGCTCGAATTCGGGTTGAACATGTGATTAGAGAACATAACACTTTGGCTGCCAATGAGTTCATTGAGCTCTTCTGTGAATTAGTAATATCTAGACTTTCTATCATCGCAGAGCAAAAGGAGTGTCAGCCTGGTCTCAAAGAAGGAATTGCTAGTTTAATCTTGGCCTCTTCTAGGTGTTCTGAGATTTTGAAACTGATCTCACTAAGGCATATTTTTTAGGAAAAGTATGGTAAAGATTTTGTATCTGCGGCTATTGATGTACGTCCCTGCTGTGGTGCGAATCACATGTTGTGGTGTGAAGGAGGACATATGCAGTTTGTAGACCCAACTTCAAACTCTGCCAGTTATGCAATGGCTGCTGCACAAGTTGCTGCATATTTGGCCAACACGGACTACAATCAAGACAATAATATTGTATCTCTCAAGAAAATAAAAGAAGCTTCCCTGTTGAGTTTGATAGTTTCCTTACGATCGATATGTGAGGGCAGATTTCAATCTTTTGACCAGTTTCTGTCTCGTGAATATTGTATATCTCTTGCTGACAATATAGAAAGTAAAGTCAAGGTGAGGGAGGAAGGTTATTCTCAACTCTTTTCTGAAGTGCATAAATTTGCTGATGTGATTTCCGAATTCAACAATATGGTTTCTGCAATTCCAGCGATGGTTACACAGTCTAATGAGCTTAAGCTTAAGTTCGATGAAGGGTCCACAATGAGCAAGCTTTGGATTGTGAATGTGGGTGGCAATGAGAGTCCAGCAAAAACTGAAGTTCTAGGGAAAAGCCTTAAGGAAGCTCAAAACGTCAATAAATCTCTTTCAGCTCTTGGGGATGTGATCTCAGCTTTGTCAAGAATTAAGGCTTTGAACCGGGTGGGACATGTGGATGAAGACAATGCCAAGGCCATATCCTTGTTTGAGAATGTAGTGGACCTTAGTGATGCTATTGAAGATGAAGTCAAGTGGGTAGAGAATCTGATTAGAGGAATAGTTGCTGGAAATATATTTGATCTTGGTTATGCACAGCTTGCAGAAGTTCTCTCAAAGAAGGGTATGTCCTTTTTAGTTACTTGTCAAAATCTTATCCCTCAACCTTGGGTTATCGATGACTTAGACGTGACAATGGTTGTGTGTGTAAGATCTGCGTGCAGGCATTCGGGTGCATTAGACCATGGAATAATGGTGTACTCTGCCTGCTCTATAAATTCACTTGGAAATGAAGATGTGGTTGCTGAGATTTTACGGAGAGGTGGTGGGGCTCTTCACGGTATCAAATTACAAGGAATATCAACGTCCATTGAAGATAAGAGCAAGAAAAATAACCCTCTTGTCTTCTTAGATATATCAATTGATAGGGACCCTGTGGAACAAAGCAAGAAGAACCCTCATGTCTTCTTAGATATATCAATTGATAGGGACCCTGTGGAACAACTTGTTATTGAGTTTTTTGTTGATGTTGTTCATCAGACAACAAGGAATTTCAGGGCTCGCTGTACAGGTGATAAGGGATCAACATGTCATCGAGCAATAAATGGTGTTGAGAACAACATCAAATGTGTGGTCAGAATTTATCCAATGCTTGAAACGGCAAACATTGTTGATGTGCAGGACTTGAGTTTTATTATGGAACTTGGGAATAAAAGTGATATGGTGCTGAATATTTTGCAGCCTAGCTATAATGTTGTGAGAAATGATGCTATGGACCAAGAAGGTAAAGGAACAAATGGAGTTGAGCCTCATGACTTATGACCCATTATATTTGAGTTACCTCTCCTTGATCCTGAGGAAGTCAACAATGGTGTGCTTGAGATGTCTGAACTAAATGCTATGGCTGAGAAGGTAATTGCAGTGCGGAATAAACAAGTAGCTATTGATGGTGAGGTTGTTGCTATGACTGTTGATGGAGTGAATGAGGAACCTACTTTGAAACTTGCTGATATTGGGATTGCAATGGACATTTCTGGAACTGGAGGAGAGTGCTGCTGCGTTTAAACAAGTTTCCACAGTTTCTTTTTTAAGCCTTGAGGACAAGGCTAATTTTCAAGGGGGAAATATTGTTATGAACCCAATTTGTAATTGAGGTTTATGCTTAAAGTAAAGAGTCAAATTAGTTGTAATTGAGGGTTTTTACTGGTTATTAGGGGAATTTGATAGAAATGCCAGCTGGCAATCACACTTCATGTATAAGAGCACCTGCTCTTTGGTTTGAAACAGAACAGAATTTTACAAAACAAATCAATACAAAAATATTGGAGCTCTGCTCCTTCTATCTTCCTCCTTCCTTCTCTTCTATGTGCAATAGTTAAGGTTTGAGATTTGGGTTCTAACAAAAATTTACCAGAAATTTCAAATCTTTTGGGGGTTCAAAGTAATTATCAGAGAGACGAAACCAAAAATCAAAATTAGGCCGATTTTTTCAAAACCACAACAGCTCCGATCTGAGAAATACAGTAAAATTTCTGGAAAAAAAAAAAAAGGAGTGAGGAAACCCTAAAACCCCAAGAACCCTAATTTATAAACCCCCAAACAAACCGAAAAAAAGGAAATTCGAGGAATTCAACATACCTTAATCGGAGCGAGGACGCTTTTCGACGGCTGAATTCATCGATGACAGAGGTGGTTGTCGACCGTCGCTGTACCTCCAGTACGCGTCCGCCGTGTATGAGGGTTGTCGACCGTCACTACTTGGTTTGTGGGCTTCACGTCGAGAGATGGGGAGCGGAGACAGAGGAAGAGCAGAGGAAGAACGCAGACCAAGGAAAGAAAGAGGAAGGAGAGTGCAGATCACGCGATGGCACCGATTAGATGTTTTTTTTTTTTTGTAATTAAAGTAAAATCAAAGGGCAAACTTGTGACTGTAATTAAGCTACAACAATTCCCCTCCAACTTCATGATAGACTAGAAAAATTGTCCACGCTCTGCTACGGGTTTTCAAACTATAATTGACAACAACCCTGGATAATATTCATAGAAAAGTACACTCAAACAATTGCATTCTCAAATGTAGCAATCTAGATAACGCACATTTTACTCGAGCAATTCCCACAAAACCACAAATTAACACATTCAACTCCAAGCAATTGAAAAACCAAGAGATAGATGAATCAACATGGTAAAAATTTCAAAGACTAATTCTAAAGTTTTCTCTAATAAATAAATGTTGGCTGAATGATTGATTGCTATTGAGAAAAGAAAGCACCTTGACAGAGTGGAAGCAATCTTATCGTGTGTGTTAAGCTTTTATGATTATTGGAAGCAATCATGAGCTCTATGTGTTATATAATTTTGTTTGGTCTTTGATGAAAGGTGTTTAATTATTTTGTAGGTACAACTTTGCAGCGCTACCACATTTATGACCTTACTATATGATCTACTTTCTTGGGGCTCATTTGATGTCTAGGACTCGGTAGACTCAAACAGCGTTGAATAAAAAATGGATGTACACTTGCATACTTTGTCACTAGCTAGTGTTGTTAGTTTACATGCTCTTTTGTGTGTGCTGTGTGGATTTGCAGGTTATGAGTTATATATAGATACATCATAGCTATAATCTATGCCAAGAACATTTGCATATTGCGACTTGTCGGTTTTCTTAGGTAATGGATACGACTGCTTCTTTGCTTTTGCTATTCCCGCTGAGGAAAAGTACAATATGTGTTTCTTAGCTATAACTAGCAGGAATGCCCGCGCTTTGCCGCGGGATTTGAAACCGTCTCTACCATCAACCAAAATAATTCTATAATTTAAACCATCCAAACTTGTTTAACATAGTTTTTTGTCTATCATTATATATTTCCTCTCACAATTTTTATGGAATAAAATTCTAAACATCAAAAAATTTAAACAAAATTTTGCAACTAATCTTTGCATTTAAGCACGTTCAAAACCAGTGGCTCTTTCAAATTTTTTCTAAACAAAGAAAAGGAAAAGTGTTCATCACTGATATTGTGCATCCAATATTCCAATGTACTGGTTTCTTGTCCACCTTCTCCTCCTAACCCTTTTATCAATAACCCATCTCATTATGTCCCTCAGAGACTCGAAACCCAATTCCAACGGTCCATTTAACACCTCCTAATATCAATTCCTAAAAAAATAAATACAAATGCAAAATCAGCAGCGCTTTCAAATATTTTAAAGGGAACGTAGGAAAATATTATCAAGAAAGATGCGAACGAAGTATATTCATCACTGATATTGAAGAGAAAACGAAGTGTATTAGTATATTCATCTTTCCCCATTCCTTGTAAAGTTGAGGAATTTTTTCTTAACATCTGAACGGAAAGTAAAATAACACTAACACACTCAATTACAGCACACATAAGCTCGTGAACAAATTATCATTTCCAAACTGCCATGAGAGTTTACTAATCATAAATCTATGTAGAAGTTGAAATTCAATCCAAAATAAACATTAGGCACATCATCAAAAACCAGCAGCACAACTACCCTATTGAAAAATGCCTATTTCACAAAACATTTAATGAATATTTTAATTCAGAAATTTCTGCAAACCACAATTGAACACACCGATCTCTATATAATTCAGGAACCAATCAAAGCAGCTGAATACACATGGTAAAATAAATGTTTCAGTTTGATTTTGTATTCTATAAACTTTACATTAACGAAATACATTTAGGGATTAGTACTACAATGACATTGCTCCAACATCAATTACAAATCTTTTGAGAACAAATAAACATAGTGAGAGCTTGTACCCGAAGTGAGGCATATGATCACACCCTCCTCAAGTGCCCAAGAGTAACTGAATGGTGGGGCAGCCCCTACAGAATGTTTTTTAATCGATTCGGTAGTTAACACTAGCCAAATGCACAATACATATCCTAGAAACTATTGTCAGTTAACTTCTAAAGAAGTTAGAGCAAAAATTACCTCCAATCTTTGTTTCTCTTGTACTTTGGTATTGTGGGGTTGACTTGTAAACGGTAATAGAACTCATGTAAGCCAAATAATAAAAAGCCTTTTTTTAGTTAACTAAAAAGCACTTGTAAACGGAGTGAGATATCTGGTAACCAAAAAATGAATCTTGGAAAGCAGACATAAACAAACTTCAATCACAATTACTTTAATACATTTGGATATCTAGGAAAATTAGATTTATTCAATTTCGATATAAAGAAAATTAATTAATGCAGGTACAACATTTGTGCCTCAATGACATGAGAAGTACTCAAAACAAACATTGTTTTCTTTTTGTCTTTAGGCAATCTCTGCAAGTCGCAATGAGTTCTCTAACTCATATACATTGATAATCATATTAACTAATTAACAACCCCTCCTGTTAATTTCACACTTATGCTCCAAACAGATTTTGTAACTAATATCCCAAAAAGAGGGGAAAAAGGGAATAAAAAAACCTTTGTATGGTATACTGCAGTGTAATCTGTGTAAGCAAAGTTAAGCCCGGAAAGGCTAGCAACCTCCTTGTATACTTGGAAACCTCTTGCAGATTTTATGGCTCTAGAAGAAAATAGATCATGCAACATTAATATCATTAAGACTAAAGTATTTTTTCGAAGTGAATACACATGAAAAGTATCAAAAAGAGAGAAAGGAGAAAAAATTAAATAAATAAGAACCGCACACCTGTCCTATAATTTGGCCAGACGGGCATTTTGCTAAGTCGGTCGTACCCAGTGCACAAGGCTCCCGCTTTACGCAGGGTCTGGGAGAGGTGAATGTCGGCTAGCCTTACCCCCATTTATGGAGAGGCTGCTCCCAAAAGTAACACAGACCTACCGAGGCAAATTCTCAATAGCCCAACCATCAGCCTATCAGATGAAGAAATATTCATAAGGGAAAAAGTAAGCTTAAATAGGATTTCATATATATGAACTCACTCTTTAATTACTTGTCCTATTACCAAATAGCTATTGGAAATGGTTTGAGTTATAAAACCTGACTCTAAACAGGTCTGATTCTTATCAAATAGCTCTTGAAAATTTGATATGCAAAAACTGAAACAAAGAAGTAGATCCCAATCTCATCCCACAACGAACAATGAACCAAAGTTACATGAACAAAAACAATGTCAACATTTCAAGCTGTGCAAAACTAAACCCATTCAGGAAAGCACAAAGTCATACATCCAATCCTGTCTCATTCAAAATTCCAATACTCGATTCTAAAGAATAAAGGAAGCAATAGCACTCAAAATCAATAATTGTAAAGAATACCGAGGGCAATAGCATTCAAAATCAATAGTTCGCGAGTCTCCAACCAGCATAGCAAAATGCAAAGAGAGCAAGTCTCCAACTCTCCAACCAACGTAACAAAATGTCAAAAATCAAAATGCCTTATGGCATTAGTACAACATAAAGTTCAAAATATTAGCAATAAATTTAAAAATGCCTTATCTAATATCATTGAGGGCATAAGTTGGAAGATAAGACAAAAAGCATAAAGGGGTTGATGCAGGCAGTATAAAAAGCATAAGAAAGGAAAGATACCCAAAATCCATCACAAATCATAGTGAAAATTTGTGTTATAGCAACCTTAAATTCAAAAAAATTCTCTAGTTTTCCATGTTTTCTCATCAAACAAACAACAAATTCATATAAAATCAGAAAAGTAAAATTACCAGCAGCAGCGTGCTCCGGGGCTCGTATGACGGCATTCCTCCACCAGCAACGGCGTCGAGATTGTTTTCTGAGGCAAGGATTACAGAGGAAATCCGTAAAATTCATGGACATCTGCAAGAAAACAAAACCACCGAAAGTCAGAGATTTCCAAAACCGAAAAGAAATGAGAGAGAGAGAGAGAGATTGGAGTACCATAAGTGTATAAACATATTGGGAAAAAATTGCAAAGCAATTACTACAATCTAAATAAAAATTCCACTGTTTATTACACAGTGCTTTGGAATTGTGTAAGTAGAGAAAGAATTGGAGTTCTTACAGAGTGTTGGCGAACTGAATATCAGCTTCGAGCACCTTGAGAGATTCATTGAAGGACTTCGTTTAACATTTATCAAGTGTCAGTAAATTTTTTAACGTACATGGAAAAATCCAGAAAATTAGAGATGAACAAAAATAAGTGAATCAGACGACTGTAATTTTGAAATATCATCTATTTGCTAATACGACCTTTTTCCATCAAAACGACATAAACCCCAAAGAAAAAATGGAAATTGGGAACGACCCATAATCTGAAAATTTACAAAAATTAACAGAAACGGATGAAATATGAGAGACAGAATTGGAGTTCTTACAAAGTGTTGATGAACTTTCAGAGAAAGAATTCGATTTTCCTAATCGTTTTTACTCTTTTCTCATCCCTCCCATCAAAAATCCAAAACACTCATTCACTCCACCCACCTCAAAACCTCTCTCTTTGAATATAGCAAAAATATACGACCCTTTCTCTCTCTGTAATCTGAAGAAAAATCTGATCAAAATTTATAAAGTTGGTTTTTGGTTTTGTAAAAGTGTGGACAGTTAGAAGGGAATTTGTAGAGAGAAGAAGGGTAACCTTTTCAGTAGATGGGAAGCAAAGCCATATATGTAACTCGGTTCGTTCAGAACCAACGATCATCGACACTAAACTTTGACTTACACAAAAACCGATTCAAAAAACCAAAACAGATACCCAAAATTATAACCAAACAATCAAAACCCACAATAAAAAAAATCATATAACAATGCTTTCACAGAAAAATCTCTAAAAAACCCCACAAACCCCAAAAAAAAAATCATGCAAAAATCTAACCACAGGGTAAGTCTAAAAATGTCAATTTTCATGCTGCGAAATTGTGATACATTACAATCTAAAATCACACATACACATATCATACATACACATACATCAGAGGGGAGGAAGCAGATAATTTCAACAAACGCGACGGAATTCCTTACCTGGGAAATGTTTGGCCCGATGATGTGTACCACCCAGACTTTGCACATCCAGAAAGTGAAAAATATTGCGCCAATGAGATGCAAATATTTCAAGAAACCTACCAAGGAAATCAGACCATGCATGTGTTAGGTTTATCATTTGTCTGTTAAAATGCACAGCAAAGACCAAAATCAAATAGATCGGTGTGTTTTACCTCTGGACTTTCCAGTTTCCAGACCGATTTGCAGTGGTGGACTGCAAACGAAGTTGCAGGCCTCCTTGATGATTTTCTTTTGCTTAACGGGAGAAAATGAGGCTCTGGGTTTGTTGGGGAGATGATCGAAGCCTATAATTTTGAAAACAAAGATAGACGAAGCTCTCGAGTTACAGAAATGGAGGGCAGGTTTGTGTGGTTTTGGAAAGCAAGAGTCGATGCTATTACAGATATGGGCTCAGTTTTCGGGTTCTGGCTGCCAGAAAGGGGAAAATGAAGGTCGGGTGTGTTTCTGTCTCTCTCCCCCATCCCTCTCAATCTCTCAATCACTGACACCAACCCTTGATTTGAGGAGAAAAAATCAACCCTAACCCCACTTTTTGGCAGCCACACTCCTCTCTCCCTTCCCCTCCCTGCCATCCCACGACTCTCTCCTTGAAAACCCTCCACACCACAGCCACACACACAGTGACAGAAATGTAAATAATGCAAAATCGAGGGCCCATTTTAGAATTATACTGGTAAAACCGTAAATATATCGAAATATGTTCAGAGACAAAATTACCCTCCTACCTTTTGATAATTACCCTCCAACCAGCCCCATTTGGCTGTGGCATTGTGGTAAATAGCGTGAAATCGAGTAGCAAAGGTTTGACTGTAGGTAAGCTACAGTCAAATCCCCCCTCAATTTTAGAATAGATAATATTCGTGATGCTTTGCACCGGAAGAAAATTGAACCCACATAGATGACACATTTGAGACAAGCGATGCAATAGCACATGCCCTTCTGGATGCCATCAGGGTGCACTCTGAAATTTGAGGACACCTTGGAGCAGGGAAAACATGCTCTCAGACCAACTGACGAATCACAATTTAGTAACAGGGAAATCGAGCGAAATACCCTGAGTTAGAATTAGCAATCTAGGAAAACCTCAAAGTTTATTGATTGAATACTAAGAAAGATTACAAAATTCAACTCTACAAGTTGGCTTAAATAGAAAAAATTTCTAATTCGTGTTGGAGCAATATTAGAAAATATGAAAAATAACAATATAATTCCAATGATAATAATCATAAAGAAATTCACAACATCAATTATATATGAGATTAATATAAACTACTAGAGTGAAAGTTAGAATAACTGACAAACTTGGAGATTGAGGCTTGCATAAATGCAATGTCATAAAGATAGAATTTCGCCCCTACTCTTGTGCTTGTAGTTCAATAGGCGTCAATCTCCTAGGATTCAACAATCTATAATCCGAAGTCAAAGCACTTCAATCTTCGGACTCTGGCGAACTTTATATATTCCGTACTCTCAAGACACGACTCGGAATTTGACACACGAATCATTTGAGAAACAAAGTTTCTCAAGAGAGTAACAATTAACTCTATTTTTCTATATATAATACCAATGGGTTCATGGGTTTATATAGAATTCAACTTCTATTTATTAAAGAGATGTAACTTTTCATCTATAAGTATACATCACTTATCAAGGGAATACACCTAAACAACATAACCTTTCTAAGAAATTGGTTAACACTATTTTTCATTCAATTATTAAAATTATATATTACAATATTTCATATTATAATATATAATTTCCAACAATCCCCCACATGAATGAAAAATTAGGAAGAATTTGAGAGTACAGGCGGACAAGAGATGCATCGGGAGAGGTGTCTTTTGGACTTGAACCTACCCTAGTGAATACTTATCGGATTTACTTGGTGACGCAGTGAATATAAAATCTTGAATTGTTCACCGTAGCAGTAAACCGAGATAATAAGCAACACACATCACTAATCCTAATATATTCTGGTTCATACAGTTGTGTTCATTTTGGTCCTGAACAAATCCCAGATTCATGAGAGCTTTAGAGAATTTAGCCATCTCATTCTCATAGAAGCGACCCATTTATACTCTCACATAGGTGACCACTGATTAAGAATAGTCTGCTCTATTCCTCTTATTTATAAGATATCACTGTCATTAAATATAAATATACACCCTAAAACTTCTGCAGACAACACACTTCTTCCATCATAGGAATGAGGTATATAGTGTGTTAACTTCCTTGAATCATGCCCAACCAGTTTGCCTATTGAACTTAGACCATGGGATCTCCAATCAACTAAGTTAGGTTTTTGCCCGGCTGATTCATTAGTTATGTTGGCTTTAGCCTCATTCCCCTCGATGATCAACTTACTCTCTAGTCAAATCTTTAATATTTGGTACCATTTAGGTTGACTATCTTTAATGGTGTGCACAATCCATCTTATGAAATTATATTTCATACGAGAGTAGTTGTTTGACATTATTTGAAATGTCAAGTCCTCAAAATTATATTAGGACTTAATTACTAAGTAATTTGCTAACACTAAGCACTTGGGTAAACTCCCCCACATTTAAGTTATTTGTAAGAAGATCTCTAATCTTGTCATACCTTAAACAAGTACTCATTACAAGACATGACATCTTAAATGTCGTTCAATTAGCAAATTACTTTTAACCAACCCCCACAATTCTTTCATAATTGTAGTTTCTTTTAATGCTATCATTAAATCGATCACATTTTCCACTTTAAGTAATGAACAACTAAGATAGACTTTATCTATCTTTTTAGGCATTCACGCTTCACTAAGCTGTTACAGGAAAAGCTTTTAAAGGCTTTCACACTTTATCATCTGAGTTTTTAAATTATCGTGGGACTAGAATCCCCGCCAAAGAATGTTGATCTTAAATTTCATTTGACTCTTCCTCGCTATGACTAGAAACAAGAGAAAGCAAAACTCTTATCATTGCAAGGTATTCCCAAACTTCCAATGTCTAATTCTTCTCAAGGGAATTGGCTTTGGTTTCATACATGACTAACATGAAAATATCCAAGCCCACGCTTGCTTATTATAAAGCCATATTGGGTCTAATGCATTTTGCAAAATGCTCCCACATTTTTAGTGTCTTGTCATTTCCTTCAAAAAGACCTTCACACTTTTAATCCAGTCATCGTCTTTTCAAGATGATAATAACTCATCTAAAATGAGTTCAAAGATTTAATTTGAATACAGTATCTTCTTTTGTTATCACAAAAGCTTTCTTACCATGAGTAACCATTGATAAAACACACTCATTGGAGTAAATGGGAGTAAATGTTTATGAGAATTGATATGGCTAAATTCTCTAAAGCTCTTACGAAATCCGGGATCTGTTCAGGGCCAAAATGAACACAACCGTATGAATTGACGTGTGGCAGCCATGATATGTGTTTAGCATATTGTCTCGGTTTACTACTGCGGTGAACAGTTCAAGATCTTCCACATCCACTGCGTCACCAAGTAAGCCCGATATGTTTTCACTAGGGTAAGTTCAAGTCCAAAAGACACTTCACCCGATGCATATCATGTCTATTCTCTCTCAGTTTTAGGCAGCCTAATCATCCATTTGCATTTACATTTGCATTCAAATGTGGGGTAATTGTTGGAGTTTGAATGAAATTTCAACTCAAATGTGGGGTATTGTTGGAAATTTGAGTCGTTTGAGTAAAAATTTCTTTGTTCCACATTGGCCATTCCCAAAAGATTTTATCACTTTATAAGGTTTTGTCCTTTATAGAAAGTGATTGGAGTAATAGGCCTGAAGACTAAAATTGGGCTCACCTTTGGGGTTGGGCTTTGGGGTGTACTAATTAATTGGTAATTAATATATATAATTAATTATAATTAATATATATTTAATTGTCAAAAGATGGGCCTTGGGCCTTGGGGCTCTAATAATTAAATTAATTAATTATTTTCGGAATTAATTAATTATTTTTAATTTCGAATTTAAATTAATTAATTAGTTATTTTTACCAACAAACTCATCTTTTCAGATGAAGTCTGAAGTGTGAAAACGCAGAAGCAAAAAACACCCTTTTCAGCAGATGTCTCCCAACAGAT